GCCACCATTATTTCAAATATCAGCAGGGTCACTTATGGTCACGTATGGACAGGTTTCAGTGGAGTTTCCAGGCTAATACAGACTAGGAAGAAACGCCTGGTGATCTACTACCAAAAGTCAGCCAATGAACACCCTATGCTTCATAATAGAACATTTTCTGATGTAGTGCTGGGAGATGATCCCTTTAGATTGGAAGGAACTTAAAATACACAATAGTAGCTACAACAATGAACTCAAGCATACAGTGATAATGAGGATAGCACAGGACTGGTACATGGAGTTCTGTGAGCTGGAGCCAACTTGATGTTAACAGACAACAATCTCCACAACAATTCAGATTCTGGCTAAACTTGCAAGACCTCTGCATTTGGTGCAGATGTAGAATAAGTTGGTGGGCCAGACAGCAAGAGGCTGTAAGAATGAGAAAGGTGTTGGAGTTGAGAGATGTCCTTTCATGCCCCTTCTCTGATATTCTCATATGTCTCAAGTGAGTCCTCTCCCTTTTCTACTCTAATGAGAGTTCTTAATGAGACTTTTGAGACTGTACCCTTGACCTCCTTAAGAACTACCTATGAAGCACCCAAACCAGTGGACCTTCTACTTATTGCAAAAGCCAAGCTCTCTGGTTACATGCTGCATCCCCATCTGCCTGACTCTTCAATTGCATGTTTATCAATGGATGCCTTTGTGCCACCTTGAGGCCATATCTGAAATAGAAATTGTCCTGTGCCTTCTTGGCACCAAATTATACTTTCAATGAGACAAAGGAAAAAGTTTGTTTTCTGTATGATCTATACATTATTCATACTCAATAATCATGTTCAGTTGGACCTTTTCCTTTCATGTAGCAGATACATTATTATTTTTCCCAGAAAATACGTTTTTCATATAGCTGTTCTCTTTTCCACCAAGGCATTTATTATCTGTTTTCTCATCTAGCTGCATGTCAGAAATATCTGGAAAGCTTTAAGAAATACAGATATTGAGTCCATAGGTCTGGGGTGAGGCCCAGAGATCTGTTGTCTACAAAACTCCATCAGTAAGTCATATGCTGAGCCAGATATGAGAGTCACTGGTCCAAGACATGAGTGTCAGGGGTCCTAAGACCACCCTCAGATTAGATGATTTTCTAAAGGGACTCACAGGACTGAGCATATAATCACACTCATAGCTATAATATGTTACAGCAAAAGGATACAAAGCAAAATCAGCAAAGGGAAAAAGCTCGTGGGATAAGTCTGGAGGAAATCAGGTACAAGCTTCCAAGAGTCTTCTCCCTGTGGAGTCATACAGGATTCCTCCAGCATTGCATTGTGACAAGTGATGTGTTGTCTATCAAGGAAGCTGATTAGAGACTCAGTGTCCAAGGTTTTTATTGGATGGCTGGTTATATAGGCACCCTCTGCCCAGCAAGAAGCACCTGTGGTGTGGTGGTTAAAGCATTCAGGTGCTAATCAAAAGGTCAGTAGTTCAAACCCACTAGCTATGGGAGAAAGATGAGGCAGTCTACTTCTATAAAAGGAGCTCTGGTAGCATAGTGCCTAAGGCACTTGACTGCTCACCAGAAGGCTGGCGGTTCAAACCCACCAGCCACTCCTCAGAAGGAAGGTTGGGCAATCCTACTTCCGTAGTGATACTGCCTCGGAAACCCAAGGAGGAGTCGCTATGAGTCGGGGTCGACTCGACGGCAAAACAACTACAACAACAACAACTTCTATAAAGATTTACAGCATTGGAAACCCTATGGGGGCAGTTCTTCTCTGTCCTATAGGGTTGCCATGAGTCAGAATCGACTCGATGGTAGTGGGTTTGGGTTTTGGGGCTCTGCCTAGTGTGTACCAAAGTTCCATATTCTCACAAGTAAAGCAGATGCAGATATTCAGCATGAATCTTTTTTTTTTTTTTTTGTATAAATAGTTTAGGCACAGTAAGCCACTCTTATCAATTAGAAATCCAAGTTCCTAGATGCTAGCCAAGGGACCAATCTTACAAACAGGGCTTTCTAAGGGTAGCAGTCTCAGGCCTGCTCTTCTATGCACAACATGTCAATTATGTTTCTGTTTTGGATAGGAGGTGAAACTTCCAGATGACAATGGAGATTCAGGTGATGAAATATAAAAACCTATTCCTTGAGGATTTTAGCAATATGATCACCTACCCTGACTTGAATAAGAAGTGGGCCTCAATCTCCAAGACCTTTCTAGTCCTTGGCTCTAGTCTGAGTTTAGCGCAGAATAAAGAACTGGCTTGAAGATGTCCTCAGAAATCACAGAGACAAGTGAATGCATTACTCATTCACTTTTTATGTCTGTTTCCCCTTGTTTCCCAAATAGAACTGCTTCTTCTCTAACTTGTGTAAGGCATAAGTATAAGTAGTGAGATTGGATGGTCAAGTCCCACTCCACATCCAAGTCACTGAAGGCTGTGAATCACATGCTTCCCATTCAAGTCTCTGAAAAGAGACTATAACCTCATGGGTAACCAGGAATATTCTTTAGCACACATTTTATGCTAGTTATGCTTTGTATGACCCTAAGTTTTTGCAGCCAGATGTGGCTCCCTGAATCTACAACCTCCCAAAATTACCTGGTAGAATAGTGCTGTCTGCTTCCAGGCAGTTGATGGTAGAATCAAACAAGAGATGATTATTTACTCTTCAGGGAAATTTCCAGATGGAGACTGGAAGTTTATCTGAGCATTGGATTATTCAACTATGTTTCATTATTAAACTTGTATATTTTCTTCCTTCTAAATAATTAGACTTTCTGTTAAGTTCAATGATGCCTGTTTACTTTTATTCAGTTCATTTATTCAAGTGAATAGTGGAATAGCATTTCCCTATACGAAACCCTATTCAAACCTAATAATGGCAGTCATTATTACTTAGACTTGATTTTCAAGATGCCCAGCTTCTTATTGGTCCTATTTTCTGTGATTTCAGTCACCTCTGTTATTTTTCTCAGACTCTTTCACCGTGTCTTCATATTCTTAGAAGAGTGGTAACCAAATTTAGACCTGGTGTTTTTCAACTCAAATACACTGTAGTTTGAAATAGATCTAAGTTCTCTCCAAAACCTGTGAAAACTATGTGTATTTAATATGTTATATTTAATTATTCAAAACACAGATGAAACATATATTTCAATCTTCTTTCATTATTTTTAAAAGTCTTTGATACAAAACATAAATTATGTTGACTGTATATTCCTTTATCTGTTAAGAGTCAATTTAAAGAAAAAAATTTAAAGGAGCAAGGGCCTTTGGCAGTAACTGTATTATGGAGTGATGAGCATTTACTACAGGTCAGAAGCTGAGAGAGCTGCTCTGTATATGTAAGAGTAATGAACAGCATTGAAAAAAGAACCCTGTCTCAATCCTGAATGTCAAATGCCTCCTAATAAAAGATTGTGACTATACTTGCCTGGCACTAGAGAACTATACTGTACTTTTGCTCCTAGTGGTACTCCCCTGCATAGCCTACTCATTTGAAGCTTGTGGTCTACTGTGATCCCAGGGTCTTTTCTGTTGTTTTCATTTCTCCATTTCATTTGAAATTAACCTTTTGTCATGTTACTAAATATCTTCCTATATTGATAGAACTGTTTATTCTCAATATCAAGATATCCTTAGATTATATATCCATGACTTATAGAATATTCTCAACCCCATCTAGTTTCATGTCTTTGGGAAATTTGAAGAGGCTAGTCTTGATATTTTCATCCAAGAAATCAATATGTTGAATAATCCTGAGAGTGCTCTAGGTAGCATATATGAGGCAGATCTAAAATATTAGGATGTATTTTACTGAGAACTTACATAAAGTACAGAATGACACAAAGTCAAAGAACAAATTTTTTCCAAAGTGTATTCTCAAACTATAAAGCTATCATGCAAAAAAAGAATTCCAAAATAATAAAGAAGACTTATAAGAGAATTTGTGATATTTTCTTAGAATTATATCTTTCAAGATCACCAGTCCCAGCTGTTTAATTGCAAAGGAAGTGCTGTGGGGCAGTGATGTAAAATAAAAAAATTGACTACATCATCAGTGTTTAGCTTCCTTGGTAGGAAATAGTAGGGAGAATGAGAAAGATTGCACGTACTATCTGGGGTAAGGGAAACATGAAGGTGGAAGAGTATGAACCCATTGTTCACTATGATGTACGCTTTTCCCAAATGAAATCTTACAACATTCATTTTAGAGATGACTGATCAATTTGTTGAGTAGCTAACATGGTGTATTCATATCATAGTTTCACATCTTTACAGTTTTGTTTATATAATTCTTGAATAGGGCTTAAGAAAAGAAATATTTCCTTTTAAACCTTTTCTCTCTCTCTCTTTTTTTTTCCTTTGGTCATAAATACAATTGAACTTACAGCCATATCCCCCTTTTTAAATCCCCCATTCCCATTAAAAACATTATATTGTTAAAAACTCAGGTGATCAAATCGAAAGCAACTGAATTGTGAGACATATCATAATAGAAAAAGAATAAGAGCCTGTGGATATAAGGGTTACTAACACCTCTTCTACATTCAGTCTGTACCATATTCTTGGCTTGTTGAAAGAGAAATGATCTCCCAAAGCCATGGTTTTCCCAAAGGGAGGGGTAAAGTCATGCATTAATTAGAAAAGGGTGCTGAAGACTTGAAGATGGAAAGATTATTTAAAATGATTGTGGCAGAACCAAATGAGAAGGAGACAATTACCTGTACCAGGTGACCCTCAAGTGTCAGGGGTTGTTCTAAATTAATAATACATGTCATTTACTAAATTTCTATGGTGCTTATGGAATGTCCTTGGGTGGTACAAATGGTTAAGCACTTCATTACTAGCTGAAATGTTGGCATTTCAAACCCAGACAGAGGTGTCTCAGAAGAAAGACCTGGTGATCTCCTTCCAAATGGTCACAGCCTTGAAAACTCTGCATAGTTCTACTCTATGCACAGGGGTCACTATGAGTTGGCATCAACTCCACAGCAACTAACAATAACAACAAATGCAGACCAGGGAGTCACTGACCAAATATTCAGCCCTGAGTAGGTTTGTAGTTTTTGGAAGTCCTTTGTAGAGTTAAAAGGGGAAAGGGATGATATTTCTATCTGAAGACCCCATAATGCTAGGACTTCTACATAGCTTAGAATAATAGTTGAGGACTGATTCTTTTCAGAGAAATACTCAAATATTTTAGTTACTTGTAGCACCATTGGATTAGAGTGCACATTTGGATTAGAATACCATTTACATCATTACCTTATTCTGTTGAAGACCAGCAGCATGCAAAAAATTCAAGATTAGAATCTCAAAAATACATGTAGTATGCCCAGTAAAATACATTGGCCAGCATAAAAATCAAAGGAAACAGTAGTTTAGAATATCTATCAACATTACTAGGGTTTTGAATTGTGAAATAATCAACAATCCTGCCCATTTTATCTCTAAAGACAAACTTGAACTTGTCAGTGGCCTTCATTGTTAAGTCACTGTAGTCGACTTTATCACCGGAGATTTCAATGCTGGCAAAGCTGATCTTCCGTTTAAAGCTGGAGATGGAGCTGTTGATGATGTTAGTAATATTGACTTCTTCCACTTCCTTAGCTGTCCCCTAGTTTAGAGGCAATGCAGTTAGCTTGAAGGATTTGACTCAGCAAAATAAATTAGTGGATAATGAGCTAATAAAAAGTTTAGAGACGTTAAGTATTGAATAATTAGGTTTAATAGACAGTGGCATTTAGTGCCTTGGAAACCATCCGGTAAGCCAGGCTTGGCAGTCCTGTTATCTTGTATATAGGCAACTATCTCTAGGTTGGGAGCAATGATAGTTCAATATAGAATTCTTGCCTTCTATGTGGGAGACCCAGGTTCAATTTCTGGCCAATGCATCTCATATGCAACCACTACCCCTCTGTCAGCAGTGGCTTGCATGTTGCTCTGATGCTAAACACATTCTAATAGTGCTTCCCAACTAAGACTGACTAAGAAGAAAGGCCTGGCAGTCTACTTCCAAAAATAAAACCAAAAAATCCAAACCCAATTCTGACTCAGGGCAGAGTAAAATTGCCCCATAGGGTTTCCAAGGCAGTAAATCTTTACAGGAGTAGACTGCCACATCTTTCTCCTGTGGAACAGCTGATGGGTTTGAACTGCTGACCTTTCAGTTAGCAGCTGCATGCTTAACCACTGAAGTACCAGCGTTCTTTCCAAAACTCAGCCAACAAAAAGCCTATGGATCACAATGTTCCAAGAATGGCACAAGATCAAGCAATATTTTGTTCCAGGGTTTGCTGTGTATTGGGGGCTGACCAATAGCAGTTAGCAATAACAACATCTCTAGGTCATCAGCATGTAAAATGGAAAGAATAATTATTGTCCACTCCAGACAGACACCAGCCACTCCTTGGAGGGAAGGCTGGGCAATCTATTTCTGCAGTGATACTGTCTCAGAAACCCAAGGAGGATTTACTATGAGTCAAGTCCAGCTCGATGGCACATAACAACAACAACAACAACCAGATGTGCAGAGCAATAAATATAATCGCTCAATGCTCAGGCTTTGAAGTTAGCAGACATGGCTCCAAATCCCATTCTGCCTGTCTCTATTGCAAAAGTTCAGACACATTAGTCCCTTTAAGACTTGATTTCCTTGCCTAAAAAATGTTGATGATATTAATACCTACTTCAAAAGGCTGACGGGAAGATTAAGTGTTATAAATTATGCAAAGCATTTAGTAGATGTTTAAGGAATTCCATTCTGTTCCAGTGAAGATGATAGGATAATTGGTGATGAGAGATAAGAAAAATCAGGAGTATTTTAAGATCTTAGGCATACAAACCAAAATGGGGGCACTCACTGCAATCTCAGGGAGTTGTCAATTCTTCAATATGGTGCTCTAACACAGTATGTGGAGTGTATAGTGAAGTCAGAGAGAGTGGGGCTTGCATCCTTGGCCAGGCTACTGACTAGGTGTGGGGTTTTGGATGAGTCCTGTCCCCTCTCTGAGTGGCAGATTTCTCCACAGTAAAATCAGGACAATAATGTCACCCATGTAACAGAGATGTTGGTGGACTAAATGAGATATTTATAAGGTGCATAGGACATAGTAAGTGCTCCACAGTGCAGCTATTATCACACACATACAGCTCTATAAGTTTTGTCTGGTGTCTTCAGTGTAGGTTCTCAGTAATTCTCCAACTCCCATTTGGCCAATCTGTTGTTGTTGTTGTTGTTATATGCCGTCGAGTCGGCCCCTACTCATAGCGACCCCTCCTTGGGTTTCCGAGGCAGTATCACTACGGAAGTAGGATTGCCCAACCTTCCTCTACCAAATTCATATGTGTGTATGTGTGTGTGTATATATGTGTATATACACACACACACATATGTATGTATATATTTGTAATTAACTACTGTATCCTCAAGGAAGACTCAAAGTAAGTATGATAAATGGAATCCATATTCTTCTTTGGCCAGTACATGACAATCATTTACATTTGATATGACTGTATTAAAAGTCGCTCATAATAGTCAAGCACAAGGAAAAGGCCACTGGATCTTTAGGATACTCTGATTCCTCATTTCCTCACTTTTAGACCCTCCAGAATTCTAGCACTTTGCTAAAGGTGGGTACCTTTTCTGTATTGGACCCCTACCATTTTCTTTGCTTGTTAGCATGAGTTGCTGTGTGCCAATGCCTCTCAAACTGGGTTTCCAAAGAGTCTCAGGAACTCTGTGGATCTGTAAAGAGGAATAATGAAGAGCATGGCCCATTGCCCCTTGCCTACAGCAAGTGGTCACAGACTTTGGAATCAACTAGACTTAGGTTCAAATCCTAGCTCTCCATCTTACTATCTGTGTCCTCTGGGGTAAGCCACTTACCCTTTCTGTTCCTCAGATTCCAAAACTATAAAGTGGAAATAACCACCTTATTGGGTTTTATCACCATTTTAAATGATACAGTATCTGCAAAAGGCTTCTTACTATGTCTGGAAGCACACAGTAAATGCTCAATAAATGATAATCACTATAATTATTATGGGAGCTCTGGTAGCATAGTGGCTAAGACACTTGTCTGCTAACCAGATGGCTGGCGGTTCAAACCCACCAGCCACTCCTCGGAAGGAAGGTTGGGCAATCCTACTTCCATAGTGATATTGCCTCGGAAACCCAAGGAGGGGTCGCTATGAGTCGGGTTTGACTCGATGGCACATAACAACAACCACCACATAATTATTATGATTGCTGGATCAGGGTGTTCCACTGCTAAATCAAATAATGGTAGTTTTTCTCAATTAGCAGAAAAACACACTAATAAAGAAATTTGTTGCTATTTTTTTCATATGTTTTTCAGTAAGCAGTTACTTGTAGGATTTAAGAATATAAAAATGAAACCAAAGGATTAGATAGTAAATACATATTAATCTGAAACTTGTAAATAACTGGTCATGTTAGGTTTGCTATTGGATATTCTTGGGTGCTCATTTTTGTATCTGTGATTTTATGTTGCGTACAGATGCATAATGATTTTCTGCTGGAAAATTAAACCTATTAGCATCTCATTATATTTGGTGAAAAGAGTGGACTCTTTCAGGAGATGTCAGACTTCCAGATGCCCCCTTCAACATGAACAAGGTTCAGAATCGCTGGAGCAAAGTAGATCCCTGGAAGGCAGGACCAGGTCCAGTTCATCTCTATTGACCAGCACATGGCACAAGTGACAAATTCTATATAGAGTCCTCAAAATTCTTACCCTATCTTTGGCTGCCATCTGCTGTAAAGAGCTGTAGTGGGCAACCGCATATTCCAGTAGGGCTCCAAACACAAAGCTGAAGCAGATCCCTAGGTACACATCGATGGCCTTTATGAAGCAGTTTGTGTTGGGAAGAGAAGTGCGTGACCCGATCATCAGTGTGGTCATTGACAACACGGTAGTCACACCTGGCAAAACAAGCAGGAGATATTTCCAGTTAGAGGCCAATTAACCCTGCACTCAAGAATTGGCAGGACAAATCTTAGAAATAGAACACACCTCATTTGGAAAGATCTGTAACCTTCTGGAATATTTATAAATTTATAATGTTTATATTTATAAATATTTATAATTTATAAAAAACTTCTAGAATACTTATTTATAAGTAAACCTTCTGGTTTATTTGTCCATTGTTTACAGATATGAATGATGTGGTTTTCTAGATGTTTTGTCTACTGTCTTCTCCTTGCAGGGGGTATTCAGGATACAAAATAACTGACAATAGGCTATCCAATCACATTTCTCCTTTATGTGCCACTGTAAATATATGTTTAAAACTGCACTACTCCCAAAATAGTCTCTCACTCTCTTATTCCCACTCTTTCCCTGTGTCTCTATCTCTTTCTGTGTCTCTCTGTGGCTCTTTCTCTCTACCTTCTCCCCTCTCAGTCTCCTTCTCTTTCCTTCCTTCTCACCATTTTTCTCTCTTTCTTCCCAGCAAAGAACTACTCAAAAAAAAAAAAAAAAAAAAAAAAAAACTTCTAGAATTACTCTGTGAATATCAATAAAGATAATGAACAGTAGTAGAAGGAAAAAAAAATATATATATATATATATAAAGTGAGGTCCTGATAACCCAGTTCTTAGACACCTCCTGTTGGAGTGGCTTACCTATGCAGGTTCTTGCAGGAACCGAATCGAGGGAGATCCAAAAGGAAACCCAGGATAACACCACCAGGAAAGTGGAAGGAACGTAAGTTTCCAAAATGAAATACAGGACATTCCTCCGAAGCTCGAATTGTAAGACCAATTGTGTATAAATTCCTGATAAGGTAAAAGAGATATGGGAAATCATGTCTGCTCACATGGTAGGTGGTGTATCTATGGGAGATTTAACTTAGCTATATCCACATTATGCCCTCTGAAAAACCTAGTTAATCGGATATTCCAGTAAATCAAAAACTGTCACTATGGTTTCAAGAAAAGAAATTGTTGTTGCATAGAATGGATTTATAAGGTTTTGATGCTCCCCTCATTCATGATCTCTTCTTATGCCTCTCTCTATCATAAAATGCGAACAACATTATAACTATTGGTTTCCTGGACATTTACCTCTCTAGACTATGAGCCCCCTGAGGGCAGACCCTGAATCTTTCAGTTCTGCAAACACAAAGTAGTTGTTCAATAAATACCTGCTGAATGAAGATAGCCATGACTATCCATTTTATAAGAATACTACAAAATAGATCTGATGTCAAAATGCTAGTGCATGTGATTTAATATTTGATGATTTAATATTGCACATCATAGTCCTACAGCACTTCAAAGTCATCCTTGGGAAATGATCAATATATACTAGATATGAAGAATGTAAGTAATAGAGAATTATCATTAATAGAATCCTGAGTGGTAAATAGGCTATTATAGCACCAAATATATATCCTTGAGTTAGAAAACCAAGCCATGCCTCTATTAAAGGAAGATGAGCAAATAGCAGAGAGAGAGCAGTAGTGGCCAGCAGTAGGCTGGATGGAAGAGTGAAGAGACTGTCCTCTGGAAAAACGAGAATCCTGGCTCAGGGTAGAGTTAGAGGAGATAGGTTAGTGGAGGGACTGTCCCTCCCCTCCAATTAAAGCCTGAAATATAAAATGATACCATTAAATAGCTAAACAATGGAAATGCTACTGGAGAGAAACAGACTAGAATAAAAACTTACAATTTTTATAATGTATAGGCCCTAGAGATCAATCAGGATCTCTGGTGGAGTAATGACTAAGGCATTTGCTTGATAACCAGAAGGTTGGCAATTCAAACTCACCAGCCACTATGCAGAAGGAAGACAGGACAATCTACTTCCATAAAGATTTACTGGCTTGGAAACCAAATGGGAGTCACTATGAGTCCGAATTGACTTGATGGCAGTGGGTTTTTTTGTTTGTTTGTTTGTTTGGTTTAGAGATCAATAGACTCTAGGGGACCACCATGTTGTTTTTGTTGTATGCTGTTGAATCAATTCATAGTGACCCTATATGACAGAGTACAACTGCTCCATAAGGTTTCCTAGGCTGTAATCTTTACAGGAACAGATCTCGAGGTCTTTTCTCTTGCACAGGCACGAATTGCCGACCTTTCAGTTAACAGCCGAACACTTAACCATTACACCACGAGAGCTTTTTCAGGGGCCCATAGATATTCCTTTTTCTATGGATAAATAATTCTTATAATATGATGTGACATTCATGATATCTAGTATATTAGTTTACAGACTTCTCCCACTATCTGAAAGCAGAGTTTTCCTATGAAACCTTTCATAACCTGAAATGGCACAGTGAAGAAGCAATTAACACTCATTTATATGGGAAAAGTTTTTAAGCAAGACCCAAAGAATAACCTACCAAATCATACCAAATAACACATAAAACCTAAAACAACACTAACATATAGTGTTCACAAATACAGTTCAAAGCTATGGTGGCTTGATGCTGAGATGCTGAGTGTAGTTCCTGGAGAAGGAGTTTGGCAATGCCACTCTCACTGCTTGGGGTGCCCCTTTAATGGATTTCTGCAAAACAAACACTGAACACTAGTTTCACTTTTTATCTTTTCTTGTGAAAGAGAAAATCATTTTTGGACTTCTTTCCATTAGTGAAAACAAATACTAATGTAGGTTTTTTGTAAAAGCACAGATTATAAAGTGAGCTTTTGAAAAGTGGGGGATACCTGTAGAACTGCAGAAATCAAGAAATGAGGAGTTCAAACAATTTGTGAAAAGACCCTTAGTTAATGGCAAAAGTAAGATTAAAATCAGGTCTTTCATCCTCTCATCTATTAGGGACCTTCTGTTATTCTATGCTGCTTGCTCCATTGCCTTGATTTTGAAGTCTATGTTTCAAAGAACTCTTAGAATTAATATTTGACTAAATAATGGCTCTTTTTTTAATACAAAATCAATATGTGTTACTTGGAATTAAATGATTCTGAAAAATGGAAACCATTTTTACATGAACCAAAAAATGAGAATAGAGATTTGATAACATTTAACAACTATAACCTCAGTTTATGAATCTTTTTTTTTTAATGCATTAATTTGTCCAATATAAAAGTATTACTTCTGTAGAGATACCGCCTCGGAAACCCCAGGAGGGGGTTGCTGTGAGTTGGAATTGACTTCACAGCAGTGAGTTTGGTTTTTGGTTTTTACACACAAATTACTTAAGTTTTAGAAAATATGAAAAGTAAGAACAGTAATCTTTGTTTCCAGTCTTTCCTCTCTGCAATGTTCAATTTCTAATTCTTATGTGGATATGATCTTGCTGTATGTATGATCTTGCTGTATGTATGATCTTGCGAGAATGCTCTCTAGACGTGAGGATGGTGAAATTTTGCCTGGCTTACTGTGGACACGTTATCAGGAAAGACCAACAACTAGAAAAAGACATCATGCTTGGAAAAGCAAAAGGTCAGCAAAAGCAAGGAAAAACCTCCGTGAGGTAGATTGACACAACAGATGCAACAATGGGTTCAAACATACCAATAATGGGAGGATGACACAGGACCAGACAATGTTTCATTCTGTTGTATGAAAGGTCACCCTAAGTCAGAGCCTACTTGATAGCAACTAGCAACAGCCTCCATTAAAACACATAGCAGGTTTTTTTCAGGGGCAAATATCTATGAAAACAAGCATTCTTAATATGATCATGAGGAATTGAGAAGAAAATGCCACTACTTACATATAAAATCATGTGTCTTTTTTTGGAAAGCATCTGTTGAAAAATCCCTAGACTATGAGATCCAACTGTTTCAGTGAAGTGAATGACTAATTCCTTTTTGATAGCTTGGAACAAATAGGTTGTTTGTGCTCTTGTTAGGTACAGCTGATGTCTTCACCTGTAAATTGTGTTCTTATTTATTTTTCTTCAGTGGCAGAGAACCAGTTCTCCAGTTAGAAACACCAATAAAATTTATGCATGGGGGAGCTGTGGAATTTGAGCAATCATTATAACATATTTGGAGGTAAATGATATATGGCTGTAGAGCTGGCCCAGAGGTCTGTCTATTCCTCAGTGAACTGTTTCAATGCTGGCTGTGGAACAGGCAAAATTGCTGAGCCCAAACCTGACTCCCTCATCCCCCACCAGGCTGAACAGTCCCTGAAGACACAAGGGGTAAAGTGGAGAAGGGATGGGATTTATGACTCAGAGTGCAACCCTCCACCTCAGTTCAGTTACATCTCTTTTGTACAGTTTGTCACACAAGTTACCTGTCTCCTGTTGTGACCGGGTGACTAAGGTGAAATACCGTTGTATAGTGTACTGAGCAAGCCGCAGGTTTTCCAGCCCACGCACAGAGTCATTCCCTCTCAGCCACATGAACTCCACATCATTCCCATCGTATCCCCCTGCAAATAAAAGTGTGTCACGGTCAGTGAAAAGTCATTGCAGGTTGAACTGGTCTGGAAAAGGCTACAGTATGGGGACAGCATGAACTCTATCTTGATGGGGATATGTCCAAACCTGGCGTGCTTCTTAAGTGTAATTGCAGTGTCTATTTAAAATGAGGAGTCCCTGTGTGGTGCACATGGGTAAGTGCTTAGCTGCTAGCCAAAAGGTTGGTGGTTTGAGTCTTCCCAGAGATGCCTGGGAAAAAAGCCTTCACAATCTAATTCTGAAAAAATTAGGCATTGAAACTCTATGGACTTCAGTTCTACTCTGACACACATTAGGTTGCCCTGATTCAGAGTCAACTCCACAACAACTGTTTAATTAGAATCGAGTGAACTGGTAGGACTACACCCATTCCTCACTGATTGACTTGGCTAAGTTCCAAAGACCAGGTCGTTATGTGAAAATCAATGTTAAGTGAAAATGGAGAATGCCTACATCAGTGCACAAAATGGAGGATGACTACATCATTATAAAATTGCCAAATTACATCATGACATAACTTACAAACCACTGCAAATTATGGCCCAGACAAGTTTTCATATAACCTTAATCATCACAGCCATGTTACTCTCACCTTGCACTTCAGTGTTCATTACTGCCAAACATACATCACAAATATGCAAGATAGTCAAATAGTAGATTTTTCCTATTGTCATAAATGTAAAACATCAGATAACAAGATAGTCAATAAATGAGGAGTATGTCATATTTGCAGTTGTCAAAGATTTCTTTTTACTTGGATCCACAATCAACACTGATGGAAGCAGCAGTCAAGAAATCAGATTTCATATTGCAGTGGGTAAATCTGCTGCACAAGACCTCTTTAAAGTGTTAAAGAGCAAAGATGTTGCTTGGAAGACTAATGCGTGCCTAACCCAAGCCATGGCATGTTTAATTGCCTCATATGCATGTGAAAGCTGAACAATGAATAAGGAAGACCAAAGAAGAATTGCTGCTTTGAACTGTGGTGTCAGGGAAGAATACAGAAAATACCACGGACTACCAGAAAAATAGGAGCTCTGGTAATGTAGTGCCTAAGGCATTTGACTGCTAACCAGAAGTCTGGTGGTTCAAACCCACCAGCCACTCCTTGGAAGGAAGTTTGGGCAATCTATTTCTGTAGTGATACTGCCTCGGAAACCCAAGGAGGGGTCACTATGAGTCAGGTCTGACTTGATGGCACATAACAACAACAACAACAACCAGAAGAATGAACAAATCTGTCCTGGAAGAAGTGCAGCCAGAACGCTCCTTGGAAACGAGAATGGCCAGACTTCATCTCACTTACTTTGGTTTGTTATCAGAAGGGACCATTCCCTGGAGAAGGATTTCATGCTTGGTAAAATGGAGGGTCAGTGAAAAAGGGGAAGTCCCTCAACTAGATGGATTGACACAGTGGCTACAATGAAAGGCTCAAGTGTAGCAAGGATTGTGAGGATGGGACATGACCAGGCTACGTTTTGTTCTGTAGTGTACAGGGTTGCTAAGAGTTGGAACCAACTTGGTGGTACCTAACAACAACAACATAAAATGGATGAACCTCAGAAACATTACGCTAAGTGAAAGAGGTCAATCACAAAGGAGCACATATTGTATGATTCCACTGATAAGAAATGTCCAGAATAGGCAAATTTGTAGAGACAGAAAGTAGACTAGTGGTTGTCTGGGGCTAGTGGTGGGAATGGAGAATGACTGATTGCAAATGGACATGAGAGATATTTTGGGGGGATGATGGAAATGTTCTATCACTGAATTGTGGTAATGGTGGCATAACTGTAAATTTATTAAACTGAACACAAATTGGGTGAAATTTATGGTATGTCAACTATGTCATTGTTGTTCTAACTCATGTGATACCCATATGCGCAACAGAACTAAATGCTGCCTAGTCCTTTGCCATCCTCACAATCGTTATTATGTTTGAGCCCATTGTTGCACTCATTGTGGCAATCCATCTAGTAAACACATGTATAACTCTTGGAACTGTTTTTAAAGTCATCCCTTTAGTTAGGCATTATTATTTTTTCCCAAGGAGCTCTGGTGGCATAGTGGATAAGGCATTTGGGTGCTCAAAATGTCAGTGGTTCAAATTCACCAGCTGCTCTGTGGAAGGAAGATGAGGCAATCTACTTCTGCAAAGATTTACAGCCATGGAAACCCAGTGGAAGAAACTGAGCTCCAGAGAGGTTAATTACCCATTCAAAGTCACACAGTTTGTGACAGGAAAAAACCAGTGATTCCAGTACCTGTGATCTTCAACATGGAACTATATGCCTTCATTTCCAAAGCCAACTGGGAAATGTGATGTCAGTGTTGAGACTAACATTTTGTTAAGTCTTAGCTTGTGGAAACCACTATCTAGTAGTGGCTGTCTCTCCTTCCATAGGGCAGAGAAGTATACTTATGAGCCCTTAGGTTAAAGCGTCCCTAGGCTTTTCCTTGGAAACATCCAACATGTACTGAGGTTAACTGTCCAATTAGGTCTAGGATCCCAAAGAAATTTTTTAAAAACGTTATAAAAGTGAGTGGAATCCTTGGGTGGTGCAGTGGTTAGCACGCTTGTATGCCAACGAAAGTTTAGAGGTTGAAGTTCACTCAGAGGCACTTAAGAAATGCCTGGCATTCTGAAAAAAATCAGCCACTGACAACTTTGTGGGGCACAGTTCTCAAGCAGTCCTTTCTCAAGTACTGTGGCACACGTGGGGTTGCCATGAGTCAGAGTCTACTCAATAGCAAATGGTTTTTATGAACATGAGCAGAAAAGTCCCTACTTGGGCAGTTGGTTTATACAATGGGCAAACACTCACAATTGTTGCATTATAACTGTTCTGTCCCTGGGTGGATGTGAGCAAGTGTGGATGGAATCAAATCTGTTGTAGGGAGGAGTTAAAAGAAAAAGACCAAAACCCTTGGTGAGGTTTCTGTACCCAAATAACTGCTAATAAACATTCAGCAAAAGCATCCTCTGCTCACTGGGGACAGGATTCGTGCAAGCAGAGTGCTGAAGTTTCCCGGAGAATCTGCCTCGTGGGATTTGAAATGATCACAGCCACGACACATGGAGGGCAATTACTTTTTCTGTGTGGCACTGAAAATGAGTTCTCTTTTTGATAACCCCAAGTTTTATTCTGCCTCCAAACAGCTGTATTGCTTCAAGAAGGTTTTGCACACATTTAATCAATATGATAATTAATCTGTCTGAGTCTTTAATTAAACATCTACCTCTGAAAAAATGGCTGCTGCCGCAAAATGGTTGTGCTTCTCAGATGTTGGAGTACTTGCATCCTTATTATGTGAGGAGGGCCTAGCTCTTGACTAGTTTTTGTCCCCCTGTATGAGCCAAAGGAGCTCTGGTGGTGCTGTGGTTAAGGCATTGGGCTGCTAACCAAAAGGTTGGTGGTTCAAACTCACGAGCCACTCCATGGGAGAAAGATGAGGCAGTCTGCTTCCATAAAGATTTATAGCCTTGGAAACCCTATGCAGATCACTATGATTCAGAATTGACTCAATGGCAGTGAGGTGGTTTATTATTATTATTATTATTGGTATGAGCCATGCCTGATGACGTAATAAATTCTGTTGTTAGCATTGTTTTTACAGGACACCTGTTATAGGTCCCACCTCCCCAACCACAGAGTGGCTTACTTAGGAACAATGGAGGCTTCTTAACAATGCCAAGGAATTTGTTTTACACACATCAACAGAGAGTGAATTCAAGTTGCTCATCATGAGCAAATCTCCAGATAACAGGAGAGATTAAGTTTTATATTTATCAAGTAAGGTTTTTTAAACGTTGGAAACAGTGGTGTGATAAATATCAATGATGACTCTGTGTGTTTGCAATTTCTCACTTATGCTGTGTTATTTCTTGCTTCTGGGCCTAGCAGATTCTGAATACCACACTTTGTCCTCTTGGCCAATTCCTAGTGATCCCCCATGATTCATTTCAAGTGGTACTTCCATTAGAAAGTCTCTGACTCCTCCAGGCTCCCATAACACCATTGCTTCATATTATTACAATTTCTTCTATTATAATTATTTAAACTTCTGTCCCATCCATTAGACTGTAGACTGCTTGAGGATTGGATCATTGTTTTATTATCTTTGTATCACAAACATCTACCACTGTGTTTAATACAAAATTGTTATTTACTTGTTGAATGGCGCACTCAAATGAGGATAGACAGTCAGGAGGAACTCAACCAGTCATCCAGACTAGCTAGAGACTATAAACCAAAAAACCAAACTCACTGCCATTGAGTTGATTCCAACTCATAGCGACCCCTCCTTGGATTTCTGAGGTGGTTATTTCTATGGAAGTAGATTGTCCAGTCTTCCTTCTGAGGAGTGGCTGGGTTTGAACCATCAGCCTTCTGGTTAGCAGTCAAAGCCTTAGGCACTATGCCACCAGAGCTCCTACTAGAGGCTATAGTGGGGGCAAATGGTCCATAAACTCAGCTGCTACCCAAAAGATTGATGTTCAAGTCCATCTAGAGGCACCATGGAAGAAAGTCTGCTGATCTATTTCTGAAAAACTACCCATTGAAAACCCTACGGAGCACAGTTCTACTCTGACACACATGGGGTTGCCAAGAGTCAGAATGGACTCAATGCCAAATGGTATTGATACCGGTATGTAGAACTGAAGTGTTGGGATAGAGCAAAAGACTTTCCTCAAAGAAATGATTTTAGGATGCACAGGAAAGAAAAAAAACATTGGTCTTGGCCCTAATGGAAAGGAATTGGTAGAACAATATGTTTGGGACCACTGATAATCACATTGTAATTCAATTTAAGTTTCCAGCAGAATTGGGGCAGTCCAAAACAAGCATCACATGGCTACAAATTTTGGGAAAAATGATAATCATAGAAACTGGAAAAACTGGAAAGGAGTTATTAAAAGCTTTTTGTTATCCCCACATTACTATTTAAAAGCACTTTATGGTATTCTCAGGAAAAATGTATAGTGCAGATCATAAACTAGCCACTGAAACAAAATCCCATGTGATTCTCCAGCCCAGGGGAAGAGCTGTTAGGGGCAGAGCCAGAGATTTGGGACTCAACACCCCTGTGCTCAAGTATCAGTACTGCTACTTAATGTGTCTCCTTGGGAAAAGTACAAGTCAAAATGAATCCTAATTTCTTTATCCATAAGGAGTCCCTAAGTAGTGGAAAAGATTAATGTGCTCACTGCTAACTGAAAGACTGGAGGTCTGAATCCACCAGAGGCACCTCAACAGGAAGGCCTGGTGATCTACTTCCAAAAAAAAAGGTCACAGCCTCAAAACCCTATGGAGCACAACTCTACTCTAACACACACAAAGTCACCATGAGTCCTAACCAAGTGAGTGTCAATGGCCTTACAGTGGAAAACAGTATCTAGCTCATGTGACTGTTTGAAGGCACCTAATATAGTGCCTGGTATGTAGTAAGCAACAGGTAAATGGATGATACAGTATTTACCAGAAAAACAACATCTTTTATTATTGTCATTGTTATTATTAATTTTTGTGAAAAAATTTGTTAGGCCAAGGAGACGAGGGAAACAATAGATTGAGGTCCTACAATATGTTTTGTTATCTCTTCTTAGTAGTCTTCCCCTCCTAGTGTCTTCACTTCTTCTGCAAGGGATAGTGAAGTTTTCTAGTAAACACAACACTTTCACTTTCTAGAGCAAAAGGGTAGCCCTGAGTGTATTTGCTGACAGATGGAAAGAGCCATTGATGATGGGCCTATGACCTGTTCATCAACTTCCGTAGCCACCCCCGGCTGATTTGATCTGTGGTAGGGTGAGGGTGGGAGAGTGAATGATGATTGGAGTCATACAGTGATTCATAAGGAAATCACCTGGAATCATAGACCCTCTGAAGATTAGTAGTAGCCAGATAAAACCCAAAACCAAACCCACTGCTTCTGAGTAGATTCTGACTCATAGCAACCCTATGGGACAGAGCAGGACTGCCCCGTAGGGTTTCAAAGGCTACAAATCTTATTTGGAAGCAGACTGTCTCATCTTTTTCCCTTGGAGCTGCTGGTGGGTTCAAACTCCCGATCTTTTGGTTAGCAGTCCAATGTTCAACCTTTTGGTTAGCAGTCCACTGGTTTAACCATTATGCCATCAGAGTTTCTAGTAGCCAGGCAGACCACATAAATAAACTGTTAAAAGTTTAGGTATTAGGGGCTAGTCTAGAACAGTTTCTACCAAAGTGTTTTCTATAAAATAGTGTCCTGATCTCAAAATAATAATAATAATAATAATAATAATAATAATAATAATAGCAGGTTTACTGGTCTGATAGATACTAGTGGAACCACTGAGACTATGGTCATGAATCGTCCTTCAGACCTGGAAGTGAACTCACTCCCATGGTTCAACTTTCAGCCAAACAACAGGCAGCCCTATGTGGTGAACCAGGAAGGTACACACTTAGAACAATCAAACATAAGAGATCAAAATGGCAGCATTTGCCCAGTGTAAAACTCAGAAGGCAGGAATGCATAGGAAAGAAGGGTAAAGAGAAATGGTAACCACAGGGAGGAAGTGGGAAGAGTGCTGTTAACATTGTGAGGATTATAATCAATGCCATGAAACAAAATGTGTATGAACTATTGAATGGAAAACCAATTTACTCTGTAAACTTTTGTCCAAATCACAATAAAAAGTTAATAAACAACAATGACAACAAAGAATTGTTTCACAAAATACTCCATGAAAGAAAATTCCATGGTTAAATAAGTTTGGGAAATGTTACCACTCACTCTTGGAATGTCACAGGTAATTGGCTTATTTAAAGGCTCTTAAAAACTATGCAGCAAAAAAGAATGTTAATATTTTTGGTTTCTAGTAGCCAGTGGGTCATGTTTTTTCTGTCCCAACTACCCAGCTCTGCTATTGTAGTGTGGCATTGTTCCAATATAACTTTATGTATAGAAATAGGTGGTGGGCTGCAGTTGGCCCAGGGCAGGTGGTACTTTGATGACCACTGGCCTAGACCATTAACTATGTTAAAGCATTTCCTTTGGCTGTCAGAGATAATATTCTTAGGTGGAAATAGCTGACAATGGCCCTCCTCAAAGATGTAATGTTGGAAGGTTTTTCTTGGAGCAGTCTCTAAATCTCTCTAGCCAATAGGGCTGAACTCGTGATTAAACATTGAGAAAAGAAAAGACACTATATGTAAGACACTCTTCATGAATACACAGATCTAAGTGACCCAAGAAAATCATCTCAGGGTCCTCTAGGATATATACTCACAGCTTTCCAGCTGCAACTTGCATGTCTGTGTGTCCATGGGGTATTTAGACAGATCCATGTTACATCCAACAGTCGTTGTGATTCTAAGAAAGGAAAAGTGGGTTAAAAAATGTGTTACAAGTTTGCTATTGAGAGCATTGGACCAATAAACAACATCATAATAAATGCAGAAAAAAATGAATTTGTCAAAGATTTCATTCTATTTGGATCAACAATCAACATGTATGGAAGAAGCAGTCAAGAAATCAAATGATGTATTATACTGGGCAAATCTGCTGCAAAGATCTCTTTAAATTGTTAACAAACATAGATGTCACTCTGATTACTAAGGGGCACTTGACCCAAGCCATGGTCTTTATAATTGTCTCAAATGTATGTGAAAGCTGGACAATGAAAAAGGAAGACAGAAGAATTGATGCATTCAAACTGTGGTGCTGGCAAAGAGTATTGAATATGCTGTGGACTGCCACGAGAACAAACAAACCAGTCTTAGAAGAAATACAGCCAGAATGCTCCTTAGGAAAAAGATTGTGAGACTGCCTTGCTTATAGTGGCACATCATCAGGAAAAACAAATTGCTAGAGAAGAATATCATATTTGGTAAAGTGGAGGGTCAGAATATGAGGGAAATCCTCAATGAGAGGCATTAACCCAATAGTCTCAACAGTGAGCTCGATCACAGGGTCACTATGAGTCAGACATGATTCGAAGGCAACTAACAACAATGATATAGAAAGTTTATGTTCTCTTCCATAGACCACTCCAAGAAGACTTTCATTTTGCCTCTTACAATGTGCCTGTATTCAAAGCATCCCTGAGGGTCTCTGTGTTAAACAACACCTGAGAGACTCAGCTAAACTTGTATCCAGTGTGGAGGAAGCTGGAATGTCAGCAATTCAGAGACCAAATTTCTGATAACATCACAGAGAAGAACCATGCATTGGCTTATTTGAGATGCTTTCACACTTAGATTTTTTTTTTTTTTTTTTTTTTTAATTTAAACTTCATGACAAACCCATGAGGATTTAAACAGCTATCACAGTCACCATTGTCACCACTTGACAACAGATGTAGGGACCTGCTAGGTGTACACACCTCTTCATGGCAGAGCTGGGACTGAGCCCAGGTATTCTCTTGTGTGTGTTTTCATAGGTCCTTGACTCCTAGAGCAGATCAAGATGCAGAAATGGTGGGCCTCAGAGGACACCAGGCACTGTGGTTCTTGGGGCTCAGGCCCAAAGATATTCAATTACACTTTAGTTATGGCATGATTAAGGCATGGTGTCGACCTTAAGGAAGCTTGCACTCCCTTAAGGGAAACAGAGAATAACAATCCCTGCTTTTCGCTGCATGCTTACCATGAGCCAGTCCCTAGGCTAAATGCTTCACATGCATTATCACTTTGAATTTTTACAGCAGCTCCACCTGGTAGAAAATATTATTATTCTCATTTTGCTGCTGAGCAAACTGAGGCCCAGAGAGTCTAGTAACTTGCCTAAGGTCACAGAGCTGCTAAGAAACAAACCAGGAACTTGCACCTAAATCTGTCTGACTCTAGAGCCAGACTATCAACCATCATCTGCTATTTTTAGTCTTAAACAAGACAGATCGTGTTTTGTCCTGTAATACAGACACACACACACACACACACACACACACATACACACATGCTGTGGGAACATGGAGAAGGAGACATTTATGTTGATTGGAGTAGGAGCTTCAAGGGAGAGGTCTAGTTAGACTTCTTAAAAGAAAAGTTGGAGTCTTGGCTGGCCTTTGCATAACTCATTGCAGCTGAGGAGTGTCCAATGAATAATCCAGAAAGTCAGTTTATTGTTTAGCTTGACCCTTGCTTTAAAACTTCAGCTTCTGGCTGTCTTATTTGGGATTAAAAATAATCACAGTGGGTGTTTGTCACTGGCCTTCTCCCAGGGAGCATTGGGTTTGCCCAGCCCTTAGCAACAGGGATAGTCCTCTCCCTGTGGGGTGTCCTTGTGGCACCTAGAGCATCTTCCCTGTTCCAGTCAACCAGCGGCTTGATGTGTGATTGGGTAGAAGGAAATTCTAGCTTTGGAAATTTAGGGAGGTGATAAAGGGAGCTTAAGGCTGCAGGTGGCAGTAGCCTTGCTCAATTTATACAAAAATACACAGAGACATAGAGATGTTGTCTAGAACAACCCTAGCTCCACTGAGCCCCATGAAAGGAAAGCTCTTTGTATGAAGCTCTCTATTTATTCTTGTTCTTTGCTTACTTCTTATCCTGCTAACTCCTTTTTACCTTCTAAGATTCATCTTTGAGTCCTGTGAAAGCAGCATCCAGCATCACCTCAAACTACCTGACTCCTCCTAACTCAGGCTGCCAGCACCCTGAAATTTCTTTGTTTACATCTCTGTGTCACTGAGGACAGGGAAATATCTTATTCAATTATGCATTCTCAGGGGTTAACACAAAGCTGGGCACAGAAGGTGTATATAAATGTTTGTTAAACTAATATGAACTAAGATGTAACTATCAAGGATATAAGGAGACAGAAGCATGAGTAGTGTGGGATGTCAGAGCGGCTATTAGAGTGCTGCTCAGAACCACCCAACATATATATATGCCTCCTCTTCCAGCTGCTTCCTTTCCAACACTGAGGTCTCAGATTCCTGATTACCTGAGAGCATACAGGACTGTGCCATTGGAGAAGAGGCGAATAAGCCTATTTCCCACAGTGACTTCATGGAGGAAGGATGTTTTGGATTCCACAATGTAAGTGTCAGGGACCCAGAGAAACTCTACAAGGCGTGCGTCCAGAGTGAAGCTCTTGTTGCCTTCAAACACCAGCCGCTGATCTGTCCAGCGCTGTCGGAGGTATATGGTGGCTGTATAGTCCTGAGGGGAGAGTAAGTAGGTAGGAATGGGTGGGAGGAAAAGGATTCCAAAAATGCAAGGAAAGGGACCAAGACTTACTCCTTTCCCCCCCTCTGGTTAAATCAAGAGTACATACTACATTGGACCTGGTGAATAAAGCTATGTTTGAAGGTGGTGGCCTATAGCAATAAGAGAACAATGATTTATTCTAGATAACTTTCACTGCCAAAAGGGAATGCCATAGAATCGTGTTCATGGTCTTATTTGATATGCAAGCTCATGTTGCTACAGATGACAATGAACCCGAACCCAAACCCAATCCAACTCATAGCTACCCTGTAGAACATAATATAATTGACTCATAGAGTTTCCAAGGCTGTAAATCTTTAAGGAAGCAGATGGTCTCATCTTTCTCCCATGGAGCAGCTGGTGGATTTGAACCAATAAACTTTTTGGTTGGCAGCTGAATGCTTTAACCACTATGTCACCAGAGCTCTTTCCACATGACAAAGGCCCTACCAAATTTTTGCATATTTGGTGGGCTAAGTGCTTGGTTGTCCAGGATTTGCACAGGACAGTGGGCCTTCTTAGCAAACTGCCTTTACTTTGACCTTGTCTTTAACTTGTTGTCTTAAGTGAGCAGCCATGAGAAGCAGTTATGGGACTGTCAGTTTTCATCAGCTTGTCTGCCACTCTGTGAAGGACTATGTAATGTCCAGGCTTTCTCACTGCATTTTCATTTTGTTCCCTGATTATTATCCCTCACCAAATGTACCTACTCTATTCTTTGATTTCTCACTTTCAGCCTTTGCATCCACTTTCTTCCTGCTATTTAGAAAATCTGTTTTACAAGAATCTTCCACTCTCTCGATTTTTGGGATAAGTCTCCAGCTTCCACTGTTCAGAATGGTGGGAGGCTGTAAGTCTTTCTGTTCTGTATAGAGTAGCTAGAAAGTTTTGAGGTGCAGAAAGCAATTTTGCCTTTTTCTGATTGTTCAGAGAACATATACAGCAAAACATGCACCAATTCAATAATTTCTACGTATCAATTTGGCCTTTTGTTCTAGGTTGCTGAAAGCCCTGAATAAAAAGGCTTACTTAAGGGCCCAGTGCTGACTAAGCCTCACAAGGTATGAAGTAATTGATCATGACCAAGTGGTGAGGCTGATAAAAGCTCTGAACCCTGAGGCTCGTATGGAGCTTCCTGTTGGTAAGCATGAACATCTGCCTTGAATGGGTAGCACACCTTCTGGGGACATGGAAGATTTTCACTTGGACCCCTCCTAGACCTTACCCTACACATCTCTTCGTTGGTATCCTTTTTTGTTATATTAAAGCTGTTGTCACAGGTATGGTGTTTCCAGTGAGCTCTGTGAGTCATTCCAGTGAATTATAGGACTCAAAGGAGTATTGGAGCTGGCTGGTCTGAAGTGGAATGTCCTGTGGACTCCCAAACTTGTAGTTAGTATCCTGAAGAGGGTAGAGGAAAATCTAAAATTTTTGACTGGCTAGTGTGGACTCCTGGGAGCTCTGGTAGCATAGTGGCTAAAGCACTTGACTGCTAACCAGAAGGCTGGCGGTTCAAACCCACCAGCCACTCCTCGGAAGGAAGGTTGGGCAATCCTACTTCCGTAGTGATACTGCCTCGGAAACCCAAGGAGGGGTCGCTATGAGTCGGGGCCGATTCGATGGCACATAACAACAACAACACAACAACAGTGTGGACTCCTAAGCTTGCAACTGGGACCTGCTGACCTAGTCCAGATGGCTAGGGATGAGAGAGAAGGGCCCAGCTGGTCCGAAGTGGAGGGAGTCACGAAGACTTTTCACTTGTAGCCAATACTTGCTGACCTGGTCCCATGTGGCTAGGGATGAGAGAGAAGGGCTATATGAGCAGCTGAGGTCTGAATTGAACAGGGATCAGAAGCTGAGATTCCCACAAGATGCAGGTGTGTGGAATGGGATTTGTTATCCATCACACAACTTGGCATCAGAGGTGGGCCATTTTAGTCTCCTTGGGTTGGTTTGCACAAACACGTATCCCCATTCAACACAAGAACAGTGACTCCTCAGGTGAAATATGAAGTGAGAACACTTACCATGTTACTCTCTGAAATACTAGAAATACTTGCAATGTCAAGAGTCACTGCTATCAGAACTGGTTCTCCTGAGAATGAAGAAAAAACAGGAAAGACTTACACAGAAAGACAAACATAAGATTTTCTAACACTACACTAGTGCATTAAAACCAAACTATTAATTACAAAAGTAATACTTGCTCATTGAAAACTGTTAAATAACCTAGACGTATATAAAGTAGAAGGTTAATTTCTACTCTCCTCTCTCAGGAGTAACCATTGTGTATAATGTGGCTTCTTTTTCTATAAAAAATAGGCACAAAATATATAGTTATTTTAATAATGACAAGGGACCATGCTGTATAGCATTGGTGCATATTTAAAGAAAGCAGTGTGTGGGGGGGAGCATAGGTATTTGCTACTTCTTACATGGAAGATTTTCCTAAGGCACTTGCTAAAGACTGATCACTTAGAAATTTAACCCATTTGGACTGAACGTATACTGCTTTCTCTTTCTTTTTCCCTTCAACTAAGTCAATTTACCACAAGATGGCATTCAAGTTGCTCATGATTGAGTTCATGCTTACCTCCTGACAATTTTCCCCTCTTCATTTACATTCCAGCAACCCTAAACTGTTTAGAATTGCAGAATCTTCCCTACTTTGCTGGGGTACACACTCTGTTAGAAGTCCTGGGGTCTCAGCAGGCAGGCCAAACTCTAGAGAGCACAGTCTTAGCTCTTGAGACAGAGGCCTTACAGAATCTCAGAATCCAGGCCAAATAAGCAGAGTTTATTCTTCCTTAGGCTACTGATGTGGACTGAGTGCCCAGGAGATGCACACTTAGATCTCAGCTCTGTCACACCTCAGCTCTAAGATCTTGGGAAAATTAATGGATCTTTCGGAGCTAGTTTTCTCACCTCCCACCTGCAAGTGGGGAATAACACTAATGACACACAGGGTCATGATGAGGGTGAGATTAGCCATGTGAGAGCTTCCTTGCAGAGTGGCAAGGGAAAAAAAAAAAAAAAATCCACTGCTGTCGAGTCAGATCCGACTCATAGCGAGCTCTCCTTGGGTTTCCGAGGCAGTATCACTACAGAAGTAGATTGCCCAACCTTCCTTCCGAGGAGTGGCTGGTGTGTTTGAACCACCAGCCTTCTGGTTAGCAGTCAAATGTCTTAGACACTACACCACCAAAGCTCCTAGAGTGTCAAGAGGGACTATATATGAGCTCAGAATCCAGAAAAAGACAGCTGCTCTGGCATCAATTCCAACTCATGGTGACCTCATGTATGTCAGAATAGAAATGTGTTCCAGAGGGTTTTCAATGGCTGATTTTTCTGAATTAGGTCATCAGGCCTTTCTTCTGAGGTGCCTGGGGGTGGACTTGAAGCTCCACCCTTTCAGTTAGCAGGCAAGAGTGTTAACTATTTGCACCACCCAGAGAAGGGGCTGATAAATACAGTCATCTGTACAAAGTTTCCAGCTAGTGTAATATGAGGTGTCTCATAAATGCCATTTCCCTTCTATTCCACAGTCGTTTTTACTTTTGGAAAGGGAACCACGGTCTTCACCATGTTAATAGATGATGCAATTACATCCACTAGCAATAATTAGCCGGTAGTGCCTGGGGAGTCAGGAGAATTCATTAACCAAAAAGGAGAGGTAAAATTTGAGAAAAGCTTAGAAAGAATTATTGGTAGGAATCAGACAAAGCTACCTGATTAATCTAAGGAAAGCAAGCCATGGAATAGAGGTAAGACATTTGGAAACGGAGTTTTAGGGTCAATGCAATTGAAAAATAATTAAGCATTGTTGTTATGTGCTATCGAGTCAGACCTGACTCATAGTGACCCCTCCCTGGGTTTCCGAGGCAGTATCACTACAGAAGTAGGATTGCCCAAACTTCCTTCTGAGGAGTAGCTAGTGGGTTTGAACCACCAGCCTTCTGGTAAGCAGTCAAGTGCCTTAGGCACTATGCTACCAGGACTCCTAATTAAGCATTAGTACTTTGTAAAGGGGATGGTCTTTGATGGCAGACACTGGAAGACGCTGCTAAGCATGTGCTAAGTGGCTTTCTTCTCCTCAAGGCAGCATATGGTACAATGTTAAGAAGAGAAGCCTGGGTTCGGATAGACGTGTTTGAATCCCATGCTGCCTACTTTCCAGCTGTGTGACCTTAAGTGAATTGCTAAACTTCTCTGTATTGTATGTAGTTTTCTCATCTTTGAGATAGTGCTACATGTGCCTACCTTTAAGAGCTGAGCTGGCAAGGTTACAAATTGTGTTTTGAGTGCCTGGAACATGGTGGACAGTTGGTCAGTGTTCATTGTCCTCCCAGAGGAATGTGGAGGATGGAAAATACTCAAGAGCTCCAACCTCACTGTGTTTTCTAAAGTTTATTTCTAGACTTTCTACCAGGCCTTGCCTCAGTTGGCTTTCCTATGGACCAGAGTTTGTGCTTTCTTCCCCTTGAGTTATAGAATTTAGCTAAGCCACCAGAGGGCAGCTTTCTCTTAGTAAAGAGGTCAAAGCCAGCTCCTGGGCAGTGTTTACTTTGGCCTGCTTGCAAATCTTTGCTCTGTCCAGCTCAGCTCCTGAAAAATCCTAGGGAGGTCCAGTCTCTTAAGGACCTCATGATCTTAAAGCCTGTATAGACAGACAATATAGAGAGCAATGGCTACTCCGTGGGCCTCCAGGCTACTACACAAAGGGAGGTTTCTTTAAGAAGTAGAGTGCTAGGAGGCTCATAAAAAGGGGGAGGGAGGACACTGTGGTCCCCCTCCCCCCGCTTTTTTTTTTGACTGAAGAGCCCTTGCTCCCTTCTCACCCAGAAGGTTCTGGGCTTCACATCCCTTAAGTCTACTTTGGTTCCACGTCCTCAGAATGAGCACTTTGCTCAAGGCTTCTGTGTCTTGTTGATCAGTGAGCAAGTGAACGAGAAGGACCATGCTCAAGCCTAATGGTCTGGGATTCAGGAGGCAAGAAAAATTGTTATGTGGACTTATCCAAGATATGCAGACTCATATGCTTGTGATTAGTGTTAATAAGGCCTGGGAAAGCAGGGAAATTTGAACTCTCTCTAGGTCCCTTAACATGTTGTTGTTAACTACTCTTAGCCCCTGCATCATGGCAACCCCATGCATAATGGAACAAAATGCTGCCTGGTCCTGCACCACTGCCAAGACTGTTTACGAATCAGACTGTTGTGATCCACAGGGTTTTCATTGTCTGGTTTTCAAAAATAGCTCACTAGGTCTTTTTTCCTAGTCTGTCTTAGTCCAGAAGCTCCACTGAAATTTGTTCAGCATTACATCAACACACAAACCTCCACTGACAGTTAGGAGCTGCCTACCAATGCATGAAGTGCATTGGCCAGAAATCGAACCCATATGGATCTCTCGTCTAGAAAGTAAGAATTCTGCCACTGACCCACCACTGCTGTTAGGAGGCTCTCATAACCCTATCACTGGAGAAGCAAAGCACTTTCTCTAGGGTAGTATGAAGAATCATTGGCAGCTCTCCTCATCCATCACTGCCAATCCTTAAGCAGACAGAAGAGGAGAAAAGGGGGTCAACTGCCACCTCTTGGAAACCCCCACTGGATATTTTCCCAGGTTCTGTCCTTTAGAATGGATGTCCTAGACAAAAAGGATGACCTACCACCAAAATTGGGCCTGAGGAACTTGTTATATCCTGCTGTGAGGTTTTCAAAGCCAGGCAGGGAAAGCTTGTCACTTCTGCTGACCTCAATATTAAACTTACTCCCCTGGACACACATCCTGGAAAAGAGAATGAGTTTTGGTATGAACGTTTGTTCACAGATACACAGGAACTTAAGCTTGTGTTTGCAAGTGTGTGTTTGTGAGTGTGTGTATGTGTGTCTTGTGCCCTTGTACCAGCAGTGACTCTCCCAAAGAGAAATCTAGAATTTAAAGCAGAATGGTATGGAAATTTGGGAATCCTCCAAGTGCCTTCTCAACAAGCACAAGAGATTCATCCAGCCTTGACTGTTTTGGAAGCTTGAGTTTTCCAGATAGAATAAATTTGGTGTTTCTGTTATCTGTCATTGAGTTGGTCCCTGACTGGATCTGACCACGGTGAGCCATAAGGTTTTCACTCGCCGCTGAAGTAGATTACTAGTCCATCTTAGTTTAGAAGCTCCACAGAAACTTATTCAGCATCATCGCAACATAAGCCTCCACTGACAGATGGGTGGTGGCTGTGCATAAGGGGCATTGGCTGGGAACTGAATCTAGGGCTCTTCATTGGAAGGCAAGAATTCTACCACTGAACCACCATTGCCTTCTAGAGAGAATAAATGGAAGGACGTTTTATTGTTCTGTTGCTGCAGGGAGGTGAATGATGAGGTTTGCCTTGTCATTGGTGAACAGAAAGAGCTGCCACCCCTATACACAAAGCAACTCAGAACAAGACGATTTAGGGGGTAGTAAAGTTTACCTTTGAGTGAAGAGACTTAGACACAAGAAGATCAAGTGGAGGCTGCAGCTCATGTTGAGGCACCGCTCACACAGGGCAGGGTCCAAGTAGGAATCACCTGGGGAAAGAGATGGGGCATGATGGGAGACAGATCATCCAAAAGGCTCACCTGTGTCCAGGCCAGCTTCTCTCTCCTGTGAGTCATCAGTCTCAACCTTTATTCAAGAGAATAACCTCTTTTCAAACCTTTTGGTTGTAGATTCTGGTCCATGTATCTATGAATTACTCTATTTTTAAAGATTACATTTTAAATCCACCCTACATCAAGACTGAGATCTTGTTTAGAGAGTGACTCACCAGCCCCCAAAATGCAGCCAGTCCATTCAGTGCTGCATATTGGAGGAATTCCATGACTGTCTTTACCTTGTCCTTGTCCTGACCTTGACTTGACTGTCCTTGTCTTGAACTTATCCTATCCTTGTCCTGACTTCACCAGGAAAGACATCTTAACTGTACACTCACCTTGACTGAGCCAGACATTCTTTTATTTATTTTAGGATCTGTGCCTATTAGGCAGGTCACATAGACAAGAAATGAGAACTTCCTGAGAACCTTCCATGGGCCAAGTAATGCATCAGATACTTCGCTATAGATTTTCTTACTTGATCCTCACAATAGCCTAGTGTTATGGCAGGATAATCCCTGAATTTTAGGTGAGGACACAGAGGCTCATGGAAATGACACCATGCTAGTGGATGCCAGAGGAGACTTTAATCCAGGGCTGGCTGCCTCATTGTTCAGTGTTCTCTTCCTTCAGGAATGATGCCTTTGTTGACTTGACACTCGCTGCTCTCATAAGCCTCCCAGACCAGATAGTCAAGTGTTTTGGAGCCATTCGGCCAATGTAGGTAACCATGGTGTATGCATGAGGATCATTAGGTGGGCCTGGTCTGGGGCTTATCTTGGGAGCTGTTATCAGGTGTTGCTCTGAGAGAATAAGCAGGCAGTGAGGCAAACAAGTAAGTCTGTGACTTGTCATGCTGGGGCAGCAAAATGGGGCTTCTCAGGTGTGGGCTCAGTCTTGTCCCCAGGAGTCAGTCCTACGGTGGATCATCCCCTCTTCTGTGGTAACCTCTGAATCAGGACATGTTCTAGAATCTAGGAATTCTAGAGGAGCCCTGGTGGTGCAGTGTTTAAAGTGCTTGGCTGCCAACCCAAAAGCTGGCAGTTCAAACCCACCAACTGCACTATGAGAGAAAGATGTAGTTTGGTCTCATAAAGATTACAACCTTATAAACTCTATAAGTTTGGGGCAGTTCTACCCTGTCCTAAAGGGTTGCTGTGAGAATGACTCGAGGGCGATGGATATAGGAGACATTCTAGGACTCAGGGTGTGATTCAGCAATTAATTAACTAATATTATTTTTATTATAAAATATGCTCACAGCAAAAATAAGTGTATAAAGATGAAAGGCTAAGTTCCTCCCTCACTTCTCTCCAGTCTCACACCTCAGAGATAACAATTGTTAATAGTTATTTTTTCACACACACACACACACACATACATATTTATAGCACATATATATATATCTGCATGAACAAAAAAAATAAAAAGCAAAAGTGAGATGATACTGTGGATATTTTCTGCTCTTTTCTTTTATTCACTTTACAATAATAATAGCAAACAGTTTTTGAATACTTAATGCATGCTTCCACTGTGTTAAGCACCTCACAAATCCTTATGACTCTTTGAAGTAGACGCCATCATTCTACTCATTTTAGAAGTGAGGAAACTGAGGCTTAGAGAGGTTAAGAAATATTCCCAAGGTAATAAGAGGGTGGGGCAGAATTGAATCCAAGCAAGCAGACCCAAACACTCTCAATCACTGCACCATACTGTATCCCCATATCAAAGACCCTTTTCCATACCAGTCTTATAGATCTGCTGCATTATTTTCAATGGCTGTTAGGTATTTCATCATATAAACGTACCACCATTTATCTAACAGATGTCCGATGGAAGTTCCTGGGTGAGACTTGTGCTTGAGTACTAACCTAAAGGCTGGTGGTTCAAACCCAACCAGTGGCACTGTGGGAGAAAGTCCTCACGATCTCCTTCTGTAAAAGTTGTTGTTGATGTCGTTATGTGCCGTCGAGTCAGACCCCACTCATAGCGACCCCTCCTTGGGTTTCCAAGGCAATATCACTACGGAAGTAGATTGCCTCATCTGCCTTCCAAGGAGTGGCTGGTGGTTACAGAAAAGAAAATCCAATGGAGCACAGTTCTACTCTACATACACGAGGGCACCATGAGTCTGAATCGATGCAACAGCTTGGGTTTTTTTTTTGGTTTTATTTATGGGCACTAGGTTATTTCTGCATTTTTTACTATTATAAAATCAGTAATGAGCATCTTTGCACATGTGTAAGCTCCTCTCATTCTGCACTATGCCATATATGTCTACCTCAATGTTTTCCTTCTCACTCATTGTAAATTTCAGGTGTAAAATCAACTTTTTTGATCCACCAATGAGCATATTCACATCATCTTCTTTTAGTCCATCTCCCTAATCTCTGTTCTTCCCTCTGTCCCCAGCATCAAGTTTAAGAGAGTCTATGAAGTGGTTCCCATGCCTTCCACCCCTTCATCCAATTTTCTGAAAGTTTAATGAGCTGCTCCTTTAGACCAGACACACTCAGGGTACCACCAGAGCTCCTCTCATGGAGCAGAGAGATGTGTAAGGAGTGAAGTGAAAGTCCCTAAGACTGTCCTATAATAATGACCAGAGGGAAAGAAACACCTGGTGTGCTGAGGAAGGGAGCAGTCAACTTTTCTGGGGGAGGATGGAGCAGCTAGAACAGAAGTCATAGAGAAAGTCATTTGATTTTTGAAGGAAATATTACATTTACTAGGTGAACAAAGGAGGCCAGTGGACCCTCCAGATGTTAGGCAAAAGTGTGGATGCTTCCTCACAGTCCCTCTCCTACCACCCACACTCAGCCTTTTCCCCCCAGCCCATAGCCTTCTGTGACTTCATTCTTCTGGCCCCATAGGCCTGAATTAGCTTTCTTCTCATTTTGGGTATTTCTCAACTCTTTCTCTTCAATGGGAAACAGCCCTCGATCAAGAAACTTAGGGAAACCTCTAGCCTTCAGTTTCATGACTATTATCAGATAGTGCAGTCTTTCCCTGTGGCCATTCTTACATTAACAGACAGAACCACAAAGCAAAACCAGTTGCCATTAAGTCAACTCTGACTCAGGATAACCCAAAGTGGGTCAGAATAAAACTGCTTTGTCAGGTTTTCAGTGGCTGTTTTTTTGGAAGTCGATCACCAGAACTTTCTTCCAAGGTGACTCTGGGTGGACTCAAACCTCCAACTTTTCAGTTAGCAGCCAAGCGTGTCTGTACCACCCAAGTACTCAGTGCTACATTAGGAGAGAACTTTGGGCCTCGGGGAAAGCGTCTCATGCTAAAAGACTCACCTAGGCGAGAGCTGAAAATTTGATCTCACTTCACTGTCCTGTTCTGGTTAGGCTTCTGAGCATGTCTCACCTAATAACAGAAGGTAAAACAAGTAGGAGCAACTAACATCCTCTGAATGCTTGCTGTGTGCTAGATGCCATGTTTGGCACTTACTCTCATTTAATTCTTGACCATCTTGCCCAGACATTAACTTTCATAGTTGAAGTTCAGATTGGTGAAAGGATCTGGCTAAGGCCACATAGCAATTAAGAGGCAATGGTTTGAATCAGGTTTTTTAAGCCCCTGTTCCCCGTACCACATCTGAAAGGTGTGGCCTAGCTGCCCCAAGCTGGGCCAGATTTCACTTGGTGTTGGTTCTTCTTACAACAAGCCTATTTCTGGGATACAGTGCCACATCCACAGTACATCTCAAGTGGCTGTGCAGCTGGTTGTCAGCGCCCCAGGTGGCAGAGGAGCCAACCATTAAGTGACTATGTATCTGCCAGCCTGAAGAGAGTTTCAGGCCATGGACAGTAATATAATCACAGGGAATAGCATTTGGCAGAGCAGTGAACTGAGCCACCAGAGGGCAGTGTCCTCTGCAGTGGCAACACTGGAGATTCAGCACTGCAAGGAGCATGATATTCATGAAGCTCCTGAATAGGAAGTGGCAGCTTCTGTGCCCTTTCTCTACTCAGAGGGGATCTTTGGTCAAAATCCTTCTCTACTTGTATAGGACAGCTTGAGCTTTGGAATTAGGAACACTTGAGTTGTTTAACTTCTCTGAACCTCAGTTTTCCCATCTGACAAATGGGAAGAAAAAGCACTCAAGTTTTCATTCCTTTTCATATCTTTCTGGGAAAGAATTCAGTAATCTCAACATAAGTATGAGAACTCCAAGCTCAAGCTTCTTTTATTGTATCCCAGGGTGTCAGCTGTTGCAGTACCATTTTGGAAGTACTCAGATTGGCATAGGGTCAGAGACAAGATGTTAGGGTCACCTAGGTGGCTGAAGGCACACTTTTCTGGACTGGCTTTGAGAAACAGAGGTAATTCCAGTATATGCAGGTTTCCACTCCCATTCCCAGAGTCTTCACCACATAAGTACTGTGAACCCCATACTTATTACCCTTTTACCTCCTTCCTACTCATTTCCCTGTTCTCAGTCACTTGTTGTTGTTGTTGTTAATGTGCCATCAAGTCGGACCTGACTCATAGCGACCCCTCCTTGGGTTTCTGAGGCAGTATCACTGCGAAAGTAGATTGCTCCATCTTCCTTCCGAGGAGTGGCTGGTGGGTTTGAACTGCCAGCCTTCTGGCTAGCAGTTAAGTACCTTAGGCACTATGCTACCAGAGCTCCCTCTCAGTCACTTAGGCCTAGACAAAATAATTAATTGGGAAGCAGCAGTAGAGCCTGAATGAGGTGACAAAAGGCATTATAACTGTGGTCCTCTTTAAGAACAATCACCAAAGGTGAAGCATCTAAGGTAGTGGCCTGTGTCTGCTGGTCTTGCAGAAACAATGTCTGGGTCAGACAGTCTGGGCTCTAATAATCTTGGCTTTGGTACCTGCTCTTAGACCATGATACTTCTCCCCAGGGTTCAGTTTCCTCTGCTGTAAAGTGGGATAATAGTCAATAGCATTTGACTGCTAACCAGAAGGCTGGAGGATCAAACCCACCAGGCACTCTTTGGAAGGAAGGTTGGGCAATCTACTTCTGTAGTGATACCGCCTTGGAAACCCAAGGAGGGGTCACCATGAGTTGGATACAACTCAACAGCAGTGGATTTGGTTTTTGGTTTGGTTCTTCATACAGCAGTGAGATTGTATATGTGTCTGACACCAATTAGTGCTCAACAAATTTTGGGTCCTGATCCCTTCCCTCAGTCTCATCATGGCTTATATTTAGATCTACTCCCCTCCCATCTCCCAAATCCCAGGAAGATCTGGCCTTTTCCTTACCAGGCAGCTGCTGTGGGTTCCTTTAGGGCAGGTCTTTCAGGCTTTCAGGCTGGGCTTTTGGGCAGGGCATGGTCTCCTGGGCCCCCAGGATTCTCATCATCCTCAGCTCTGACTTTCCGATGTGTACGTACAGCCACTCTCTAGTGGAATGGCAGTCTCTGTGGGGAGGAAGGAACTGTTGAACTAGGTTGGGCTGAGACAGAGCTGGGCGGGGCCTCTTGCAGTTCCTCCCCTGGGTTGGGCTTTGACCTGGTCTTTGTGACTGTGGGAATCACCCAGCTCCTCTGATGGCTACTGGCTACCATGGATTTGATTCTGAGTTCGTGTCTTGCTATGTTCCCAGACCCCAGCCAGATAAAACCCCTGAGATGAAAGACCCATGAAAGCCAAGCAAAGTGAGTGACCCTACCCACCATGCCAGGAAGATAAGCCCCAGGTTTTGAATTTGGAGAACACCTCTCCATCTAAAAAAACCCCACTCATGGCTGTTGAGTTACTTAACCCCTCCTTGGGTTTCCGAGGCAGTATCTCTACGGAAGTAGATTGCCCAATCTTCCTTTCAAGGAGTGGCTGATGGGTTTGAACTGCCAGCCTTTTGGTTAGCAGTCAAATGCCTTAGGCACTACGTCACCAGAGCTCCCCCTCTCCATCTAGTGGAATGGAATAGGAGTGAGCTGTGTGACCCTGGGCAGGCATCCTGGTGGAGTCCTCAGCTTTCCATTCATACATTGAGAGCTTGGCCATTTCTAAAGCTCTGGATCTTGGTTGTGAATTTTAAGAGCTTCTTTAGGATCAACGGAAAGTCCAGCTTATGTAAAAAGAAACTAATGGATCCAAGGACTTAGTGCTTTTCAGACTGGGAATTTTCAAAAAGAGACATAGAGACCAAGAGAAAGGAGAATAGAGGCTCAGCAGGCCAACTGAGGAAGAGGTGGGAGAGATTTGGAGAAATGTAGCTAGCCTTTCTGGATGTCTTCTCCCTCCCCCACCCCATCACTTATACCACCAGTACTATGGTGATGACCCCATGTGGCCCTTATGTGCTAAAAACATTTTCAGTGCTGATTTATCACAAGTATATTGTCAGGCCTTTCTTCTGAGGTGCCTCTGGGTGGACTTCAATCTTGGTTAGTAGCTGAGCATCTTAACCATTTGCCAGGGCTTCAGTAAAGTCCCTTTATGAGCAACATCCCAGAGATGCAGGCCTCCTTTGTCAGTGGCAGTTGAACCTCCTAATGAAAAGGTTGCAAAGTTATAATACCTTTTATATGATCCCTAAGTCTTTCTTCTCACCATAGCCAGTGGCCTTGAAACTAACTTTTGGCTTCAGCCTTGTGGGAAGGAATTCCCTGGAGGCTTGGCCTTGCACTCTGAGGGAGTTGTGAACCCATGAGGGATTGAAATCAAGGGGCCAGGAGAGAGGGACCTGTGGAGTTGAGGAGGCATCTCCCTCCCTTCTGACATCATGGCCATACTCTTGCCCAGGCCCCTGCCAGTCCTGGAGACCAGGAGAGAGGTAGGAGAGGGAGAGAATGGAACTGCAAGAAGTCAAAGAAGGTGGGAAGGAGGGGAGGACCTGGGTGTACAATGCACCATAGATGCCTCTGGCCCCAAACCAACTTCCTAAGTGTACATTTGGAGCCTGGCCAGCCATACAAATATCTCTGTGCTGGTTGGTAGGGAGTGAGTGTCTGAAGAGAAAGCTCTTTCATTTCTCTGAGAGACCTCACTTTCACCTGAGAACCCTGAAGGTGACTGGAACTGGCAAGAGCCTTGTGCCTCAGTCACCATACATACAGGAGGCTAACAAGTCTTAAGAATGCTGGGTATTTGTGTAGGGCATTGCAATTTTCAGAGTCTTTCCATGTGTGTGTTCCTTATCTTATTTGAGTACCATAATGATCCTGTGACATAAATGGGTTTGTTCCTTTATTATCATTTTGTAGGTGAGGAAGCTGTGTCCAGAGTGACAGGATTACCAGGGGCATGTTGTTGTTATTGTTGTTATGTGCCGTCAGGTCGGACCCAACTCACAGAGGCCCCTCCTTGGGTTTCCGAGGCAGTATCACTAGGAAAGTAGATTGCCCCATCTTCCTCCCGAGGAGTGGCTGGTGGGTTTGAACTGCCAGCCTTCTGGTTAGCAGTCAAGTGCCTTAGGCCAGCACTTACTCAGGTCACAAGGAGCTCTGGTGATGCAGTGCCTAAGGCATTTGACTGCTAACTAGAAAGTTGGTGGCTCAAACCCACCATCTGCTCCATGGAAGGAGGATGAGATGGGGCAATCTACTTCCATAAAGATTTACTGCCTCAGAAACCCAGTGGGGGTTGCTCTGAGTCAGAGTCAACTTGATGGCAGTGAGTTTGGTTTTGACTCAGGTCTTAAGATTTCAAACCAGCAATTTACTCCACACATCTGCTCAATGATTATGGAGAGAACAGAGGAACAGAGTTCAAGTGAAAAGGGGAACAAGGACACCCTCTGGATCTCCCCCTCACCTGGAAGGCCATCTTGGGACAAGATTACCTAGCAACCATGATTCCCAGGAAATGCTACCTGTTGGAACTAGACAGACCCCCATCCAACCACACCTCTCACTCTGTCATATCTGCCAGTGTCAAGTTCAGCATCTCCTCACCTGTGAGACCAGGGTTTCCAAAGAGAGGCATGCGTATACCAGACCCTGTGCAAGGTAAGATCCTGGACCAGAATATTGGTAAAGTTCTAACTGTTCTTTCTGCTTCTAGTTATATTCCCCTCTTGTCTACCTTCCACTATCACCTGACTGATCTTCATAAAACCCAGAAAGGGATTTCTCATTTCCACTCAGTAGGAAATTTTCTGATTTCCTGGAAAGTGGGGCAGTCCTAACTGCCTTCAGGGGTTGGGCTGGTCACTTGATGTATGAAGAGGGCTGTGTGTAAGGTATGGTGGGAGTGCTGGAGAACCAGAGAGTGCTTGTCTAAAAATATTCCAATTCAAAAAAATTTTAAACCTAGATAGGTGAAACAAAACACTTCTTGCCCTAGCTCCATTTGTGGGTGCTAATAGTCATCTCTGAACAGGTCAAGGCTATCACCTTGGCAAATATTGTTCAACTCTCTAGACAGGTCTCTTGCTACTTTCTTCTTAACACTTTTTGCATTGTAGTCATGTCTTGCTGATATGTGCCCCATAGTATTTAATCTTCCTGGACAAGTAAAATTAAATTTCAGTCAAACGAAACCTGGTTCTGATATCATCTCCTCTGTGGAGCTCTTTGACTTTTTGAGTTCACTTTCCCCTCCTTTTGCTGCCATCATACTTTTCACTTGCTGGGCCTTGTTGTGCTCAATCCACCATTCACCTGCCTGTCTCCATCACTAAGCCCAGTGATCTCTGAGATCAGGTCCATAATCAGTATCATTGTTATCAATTCAGCTCTGACTCATGACCACTTCATGTGCGTCAGAGTAGAGTTGTGCTCCATAAGATTCTCAGTGGCTGATTTTTCAAAAGTAGATTGCCAAGTCTTTCTTCTAAGGCACCTCTGGGTAAACTTGAACCTCCAACCTTTCAGTTAGTGACATTATGCCAGTTAGTGTGTTAATCATTTGCAACACTTGGGGACTTATTAATTATTTTATCCCCAATGCCAAGGTCAGTCCCTTGGTCACATAGTGGGTCCTCAAAAGTCTATGAGCCAATGAGTAAATATATTCTGTAGTGCTTACACACCTGGGTAACAGCAGTGTATTTTTACTATTTGCTTCTATTTTTAATAGTAATAAATAAATACCTTCTCTTTCACCTCTTCTCTTACTTTCTGAAATCCCCTATACATCAATTTTCAGATTCCATATGCTTAAAGGACTGGAGAAAAAAAGAAATGGCAGGTGGTGAAAACCTTTTTCTTGTCAATGTCCATGCAGGGGAGACAAATCACACAGGGAAGACCTGTTGTGGGGCCCAAATGTGGTCTGAACAGAGATGCCTGTGTCAGAATCACCAAGAGGGCTTATTAGAAACACACATTTCTGGGCCTCTCCTCAGATCAAATGAAATGGATTCTCTACAGATAAGGCCTGGGAATATGAATTTTAGTAAACTCTCCAGGTGATTAGTTATTGTTTTCAGGTGCCGTCGAGTCGTCTCCAACTCATAGCAACCCTATGAGCAGCAGAACGAAACACTGCTTGGTCTTGTGTCAGCTTTGTGACACCTGTTATATCTGAGCCCGTCATTGCAGCCACTGTGTCTATTCACCTCATTGAGGGCCTTCCCCGTCTTCATTGACCCTCCACTTTACCAAGCATGATATCCTTCTCCAGGGAATGGTTCCTTCTGACAACATGACCAAAGTAGGTGAGACAAAGTCTGGTCATTCTCATTTCCAAGGAGCATTCTGACTGCACTTCTTCTAGGACAGATTTGTTAGTCCTTTTAGCAGACCATGGTATTCTTAGCATTCTTCTCCAACACCACAACTCAAAAGCATCAACTCTTCTTCGCTCTTCCTTGTTCATCATCCAGCTCTCATGTGCATAAGAGGTGATTGAAAATACCATGGCATAGGTTGAAAAAAAAAAAAACAAAACCTCATTGCCCTTGAGTTGGATCCTACTCATAGCGACCCCTCCTTGGGTTTCCGAGGCAGTATCACTATGGAAGTAAATTGCCCAATCTTCCTTCCGAGGAGTGGTTGGTGGATTTGAACCATCAGTCTTCTAGTTAGCAGTCAAATGCCTTAGCCACTATGCCACCAGAGCTCCCATGGCTTGGATTAGGTGTACCTTAGTCTGGTTAGCAGTCAAATGCCTTAGGCACTATGCTACCAGAGCTCCCCAGTCTTCAAGAGACATCTTTATTCTTCAGCAGTTGAAAGAGGTGTTTTTTTTTGCAGCAAATTTGCCCAATGCAATATGTCATCTTACATCTTGACTGCTGCTTTCGTTGGTGTTGATTGTAGAACCAAGTAATAGGAAATCCTTGACAACTTCAATTTTTTTCTCCATCCACTGTGAAGCTGTTTATTGGACCAGTTGTGAGGATTTTTGTTTTCTTTATGTTGAGGTGCAATTCATACTGAAGACTGTAGTCTTTCATTTTCGTCAGTAAGTGCTTCAAGTCATACTCATTTTCAGCAAGCAAAGTTGTGTCAAAT